GTCCTGAACTTGGACTTCTCACGGTTTTCATTTGTCTTAGTTACTTTTCTGTTGCTGAAATAAAAGACCTTGACAAGAGCTTCTTAAGGAAGGAAGGGTTTGGGGACCCCCACCTCCAGAGGGACCCCATCTATCACAGCCGCGAAGACAGCAGCAGGAAGACAAGGCATGGCGGCTGGAGCCAGAAGCTGGCTGGTCACATTGTATCCACACTCAGGAAGCAGAAAAGCAATGGGGCCCATTATAAAACCTCAAGACCCTCCCCCAGTGACACCCTTCCTCCATTGAGGCTCCACCTCCTAAAGGTCCCTCAGTTGTCCCAAATAGCACCATTACCTAGGGCCCAAGAGTTCAAACACATGATATGAGGGCCACGTCACATTAAAACCACATCACAACACTGAAAAATTCAATCACGGTTGTTGAAGCCATGCTGCTTACCATCACCTGCTATGGCAGCCAGACTAAGTTCTCCGGTGCTCTTGTGTCCAATCCTTCCCTCATTCCTGGACCACCATGGCCCTGCTTGAGCCGGAAATCTGAGGTCCTAAGTGCATCTGAGGAAGGGGCACAGGTGGCTTCAGGTGGGCACATGTGGGTCGGGGGCCCTCCAACGTGTACTCATGTGGCCTGACCAGGGTCCTTTTGTCTAGGTCTAGTCTGGATTGTCTGAGTTCTGGTTACAGCAAGGCCAACCCCGTGAGCCCTGAGTGGTGAGTTCATTCTCTCTGTGCCCCTCTGTCCTTCCCTGGAAAATGGGTCTCACCTAGCAGCACTGTTGTGAGCACAGAGTGAATCAAGCCACATAAAGGGCCCAGAATAGTTGGGGATTTAGCTCAGTGGTAGAGCGCTTGCCTAGCAAGTGCAAGGCCCTGGGTTTGGTCCTCAGCTCTGAAAAAAAAAAAAAAAGATTTATTATAGCCTGGCGGTGGTGGCGCATGCCTTTAATCCCAGCACTCAGGAGGCAGAGGTAGGCAGATCTCTGTGAGTTCGAGGCCAGCCTGGGCTACAGAGTGAGTTCCAGGACAGGCTCCAAAGCTACACAGAGAAACCCTGTCTCAAAAAACCAATCAAAGGACTGGAGAGATGGCTCAGAGGTTAAGAGCACTGGCTGCTCTTCCAGAGGTCCTGAGTTCAATTCCCAGCAACCACATGGTGGCTCACATCTGTAATGAGATCTGGTGCCCTCTTCTGGCCTGCAGGTATACAAGCAGGCAGAATACTGTATACATAATAAATAATTAAAATCTTAAAAAAAAAAAAAAAAAAAAGGCCAGGTGGTGCTGGAACATGCCTTTAATCCCAGCACTTGGGAGGTGGTGAGGCCTAGGAAAGGCGCAAAACTACACAGAGAAACCCTGTCTTGAAAAAAAAAAAAAAAGTCAGGCATATGCTCACAATTCAAATGCTGGGGAGGGAGAAGGCAGACGGTCCCTGGGGCTCACTGGCCCATCAAGCTTACTTGTCAAGCTCCAGACCAATGAGAGACACTGTCTTAAAAACAAGGTGGTGCCTGAGGAATGACACACAAGGCTGTCATCTGGCCTGCCTGTGCACACATGCACACACACACACACACACACACACACACACACACACACGTATGCACCCCCCCATACACACACGTATACACCCCCACAAACACACATGCACACACACACACACATGTATGCACCCCCAAATACACACACGTATGCACCCCCACATGCACACACACACACACACACACACATGCATGCATCCCCACATACACCCCCCACATACACCCCCACATACACACATGCACACCAGCATCCCTGTCAGCACTGCCTCTGAAGACTGAGTAGACATATTATTTAACTCCAGTCTCCTTGCCGGCTTTGAGGGTCAAGGGAGCGAACGCTTGAAGAGCGTGTGCTCAGTGTTGCAACCTGCTCCAGCATGGTCTGGGGAACGTCCTGCCTCCAGCTCTCATTTCTACAGCCACAACACCCCAATAAGAACAGCGGACATGTTCTGTTTGGCTCTTTAGACGTGGGTCTTGCATCTTTGGAATCCACCAACTGTGATGGGAAAGGAAACAGGTGTGCACTGTAGTATGGGCTTCTTCTCACCTCCCTGCCCATCCCCCCCCCCCCCCCCCCCCCCCCCCCCCCCCCCCCCCCCCCGCGCGTCCTAAATTTGGCTTGGTAACTGCTCAACAGCCTTTGCTTGGCGTTATCACCAGTTGTATAGACAGAGTTTAAAGTACACTCGAGCTGTAGAGATGGCACTGACTGCTCTTCCAGAGGTCCTGAGTTCAATTCCCAGCAATGATATGGTGGCTCACAGCCATCTGTAATGAGATCTGGTGCCCTCTTCTGGCCTGCAGGGACACATGCAAGCAGAACACTGTGTACATAATAAATAAATAAATCTTTAGCCGGGCAGGGTGGCACACGCCTTTAATCCCAGAACTCAGGAGGCAGAGCCAAGCGGATCTCTGAGTTTGAGGCCAGCCTGGTCTACAGAGTGAGATCCAGAACAGCCTCCAAAGCTACACAGAGAAACCCTGTCTCAAAGAGGAAAAAAAGTACACTGGAGAATGAACGTGCCTGGGTTCTCTGCAAAGGCTGCACTGTTTTACAAAGAGACGATTGTCGGTGGGTTTAGTATTGAGGGGGGTCCTCACACCTGCGATCCTGATGGATGGCTGTATTTCATGGGGGGGAGGGTGAGGGAGGGGCTGGAAAGCCAACAAAAGGGTGAGGTAAGCCAGATGTGGTGGCTCAGGCCTGGAATCCCAGGATTCTAAGTTCCTCTGCCTCAAAACCAAAATGAAAACCAAAACCACCACCAAATAACAAAAGTGAGGGTCTCACTGGAGAGATGGGTCAGGGGTCAGAGCACTGGCTGCTCTTCTGGAGGACCCAGGTTCAATTCCCAGCACCCACATGGCTGCTCACAACCATCTGCAATTCCAGTTCTGGGGTATCCAACACTCTTTTCTGGCCTCATCAATTGCCATACACAGGCAGTCAAAACATTCACACACATAAATTAAAAATAAATCTAAAGCATAATAAGCCCACCATGCAGCCCAATGTTATGTGTATTTTTAAAGTGAGGGTAGGTAAGGCGGGGAGGGAGACTCTGGGACTTATTCCAGGCAGTTGGGGTGACTTTCCAGCAGGCTGCAGGAATGAAAGCTGAGGAGACCAGGCTTGGCTTCCAATTCTAGCTGTGCATGCTGCCTCTCTGTGATGGGGACTGACGGTGTCGTCTCTGGAGGGAGGTCTCCTTCTCTGGGATACCCCTTGAATTTGCATGGGCATGTGAGATGCCTGGGTATCACAGGGTCAACCCTGCCTGGGGATGAAGTGCTTACCCTGCAGAGGTCAGGGCTACCAGGGAAGAGCTGAGCCCCAGGTAGAGTGACAGCTGGCGGGGTCTTGGTAGGCGGCCTGCATACATACCCTCTGGCTTCAGTATCCATAGGACTCCCTGCCTGGCTGAGGGTCCTCTGTGGCCACTCTGTCCCTGAGTTCGTTGTTTACTTCAAACCCAACTGGCGCCCTCCGGCTGACCTCTGGCATGGCCATCTCTCCAGGGACCCCAGGGAGTGGCTGATTTTCACTCCCTTGGACCTGTTTATAGAGGGACACAGATGACACCAGCTCTCCCCCGGGCCTGGTGGCAGCTCCACAAAGACACCTTTCAAGCCATTCAGCTGGAAGGCTGGGGACACGGTGCAGAATGATGGCAAATGAGGTCAGGGCGAGCCCGGCACTGCTGAGCACAGGAATAGCCACCCCGTCTCACTGTGGCCCAGACTGTGGGAGCTACGCAGGCATCTGGGTCCCTGCTCCATAAGCAGGAGGAAACAGAGGGGTGCAGACACTCGCCTGAGGCTGCTCGGCTCTGCTAGGGAGCCAGGACTTTGAACACTGATCTCTGAGGTCCAACACTGTGTTCTTGAGTCGGGCTGTCTTGCTTCCCTTAGCAAAATTAACCCCAATAGCTCCTGATTAGTCGGTAACCCTCAAATACACCCACTTTATAGATGAGTTGAAGGTCGGAGAGGACCCATCTTTTCTACGATAGGAATTGGTACACTTGGGACTCATTATCCATTCTTTCAACCTGTGTGTGTGTGTGGGGGGGGGGGTCACGACACGACCTGGCTGTGAGGCTATGAAGCTGCCTGAAGGCACTGGAGCCTCGCTGACAGCTTCTGGCACTGCTGTGTGCTGAGGCCTGGCTCCACCTAGGCTGGGGACTCGGCATTCTCTGCAACTGCTACTGTCTGGATGCTTAGCTGTCATTGAACTGGCATGGCCTCTCCACTTCCTGTAGGCTGAATGTCCACTGTCCATTCCATAAGTCAAGAACAGAGGCTCGGGGAGGAAAAGGGTCACCCGATGGCTGTAAATCCCACCTGGGAGATATGGCGGGAGCGGGGGGTGGGGTGGGGGTGGCAGTCTTCTCCATAGTTCAGTCAGCCTAGCCCTCCTGCGACATTGCCAGTGAAGAGGGCCCCTCATTCCACCGCCTGCATCAGGTAAACCCACCTCTCGGGCAAGCCTGGGTGGTTTGCCCAGCTCTGTTGTCTCTCCTACATCTCCCCTTCCCTTTAGGATTCTGATCTGGCTTCCTGAGGGAGACATGTTTCTTGAACTAGGCTCCCAGGGCCTCCTGCCACTGTTAGACTGGCTGAGACACTTCGTAAAGTGGGAGCAGTGGCTGTCCTGGTCTTTGGGGTGTGGAGATGGTCAGATGAGTCACTGGTGATGCGTGCCCACTGGCCCTCGGTAGCTGTGGGCAACAGTGGAGCTTAAGAAGCTCCATGAAGACCAAACAGCAGTGCGGACCATGACGGCGGCAGAGGCCTCCTCCTTCAGGGATGGGAAGGCGTCGGTGGTTCTGGGACTCCTGTGGCCTGTGTTCCATCTATGCCTGCTCTGTCCTAGCCCACCCTGTCCCACCCAACCCCATCTGCTGCTGCTGCCTGTGCTCTCTCTGCCTATTCGAGTCTGCTCCACTCAGCCCTGTTCTATCCTAGCCTGCCCACTCACCCCCCGAGCCCACTCAACCCCTGGCCCAGCCCACTCACCCCCCCAACCCACTCACCGCCCCCCCACCCGGCCCAGCCCACTCACCCCCCAGCCCACTCACCACCCTGTCCCTTCCCTCCACTAGAGCACCATGCCCCAGTCCATGAGTTCAGGTTGAGTGTTGACTCTGTACCCCATGGCCATGGCTGTCACTACTGCTCACAAGTGGATGGGGCACGAGTCCTGTCAGTGCCCCCAAAACCACCTTCACAACAGCCCGTGGGCATCACAAGCCTCCCCTTCCTAGTTCCGACAGCTCCCTTCAGAAGCTTGGATAGATCTGGTCCTCCCTAGCCGACTCTCCACCTCCTCTGGGTCCCGTCAACACACCCCCACTTTCCTGTAGGAGAGCCCTGGTGGGATGGGTCAGGCCTGGGCTCTAGCCAGGCCCCAAGGCTGGCAATCTCCATTCACAGACCTGGTGCCCTTTCTCTGACACCTCACACGGTTTGAGTGGGGCTAGAGCTGGCTCTGCTGTCAGGGGAGACCCCCCCACACCCACACCCACATTCCCTGCACAGAGAACAGGGGTTGCTCTGCTGCCCTCAGCCTCTATCACATGCCTCCCTCCACTCCTGTGGTGCCCAGCCTGACATGCCACAGCTTAGTGTGGCTGCAGGCTGGGATGGCCATGTGCTCCTCTTCTGCCCGCACTCCCGGGGGGGGGGGAGCTTTGAGTATCAGTGGAGTGGTGAGTTGGGTTTGGGCACAGAGGAAGCAGACAGCTGGCTTCTGAAGCTGGCTGTGGTTGACGGCCACATGGACCCAGAACTGGCCTGGGCAAACAGCACCCTGTGCGGCACAGCCTGTCTCCTGGAGCTGTCGGGTTCTCTGGATCAAGGGGCATATGACCAGTGTCAACTGTGCACACACCTTCCTGGGGACATGTGGGGAGGCAGGGGCAAAGGACAGAGAAGTGGTTCTGAGTCCTTGGTGTCAAAGAACTCATTTTTACAACAAGCCACGTGTTCCCAGCACAGATTTAACAAGGTGAATCGGGGCGGCATTGCACAATGCTCTCTTCATGGGGATTTCACCCAATAACATTCCCATATTTTTACCGCCCACCCTCACGCATTTATGGAGAGATCTGTGCTTAGAATGGAAAGCAGTAAAACCCTATTAATAACTTACGGGCTATAAATACACTTCTGTTAGCCTCACAGACCATGAGAACAGCTTCATGGACTTTTACCAAGTTTGCTGGGCAAGTTTACAATGGTCTAAGCTGCTGTAGGGAATGAGTCCTGGGCAGGATCAGACATGGGCAGCGGGAAGAAAACACATGGGGTGAGGTAGAGGCTACGAGACAGGACAGGCACATGTAAAACCCGGCAGGCTGGTGTGCCCCCCCCCCACCCCCCCCCCCCCCCCCCCCCCCGCTTGCTCTGGCTCGGAGGGAGCTCGGTTCACACCACGTGAGTACCTCAAAGGTTTTCAGCAGATGTTTCACATTGTATATGTGCTGACATGTGTCTTGATTTGTTTTTGTGCTAAAAATTAGCCAGGCTTTTCAAAATGTAATATACACACAGAAGGGAATACTACTCAGCCTTCAAAAAGAAGGGACTATGATAGGAGGGGAAGACAAGCTTCTAGCTTTCAGCCATGCCCTGGTCACCTCTCATGGCAAGCACATGGCCAGTTTACACGTCTTTGTTCCCTTTTGGGCAGATGAGGCCACTGACGTGGTAAATTCAAATCAATTTGATGGGGCCCTGGTTTGGAATGAGTTAACCCCAGAGAACTGACATGCTTGACCGTGCTAACCACGGGTGTAGGGAAGACAAGCTTTGGCTGCACATGCCTGCTCCTCAGTCAGCTGTGAGGAAGGCCCTTTACCTTGTGGGCCTTGACTTCTTCATAGAATGGAGACTATCCTTCTGGAATTGTGAAAATCAAGTGAGGCTGTGCACAAGACAGGGCTGGCTCTTGACTCCTTTATTTCTTCTTGAGGAGACTGGTGAGAAGGTTCTCAGGGAAAAGCCGTGTCTTAGGAAGGAGGGTCAAAGGCACCGTGGTGCCTGGAGGAAGTGCGGTATGAGAAAATAGTTGTGATCACTGGCTATACATAGCCTTGGAGCCCACTCCTGGGGAGACTACCTTAGACAAGGTGACTGACAACTGACAATGTACTGGGTCAACTATCCTAGCCTGTCCTTGGCATCCACAGGGCACAGGGCAGCCAGCCAGCCACAACCTTATCTAAACAGCTTTCAAACCCAAACCCCAGTGCCAGCCTCCAACAAACTCCCTGATCTTTGCTGGGCCCCCAGATTTCTCCAGTGACCTTTCTGGTCCACAAAACCTTTGGTAGTTCCAGGCAATGCTCTGAGCTTCCTTGGCCAACTCAATATCAAAGACCACTTAGGAGCTGAGTTATGGGCAGGCGTGGCTAAGCCAAGAGGTCCAAAGGTGGTCCTTGCAAGGGACTATGGGGGAGGGGGATTCAGACACGTGTTCTCACCGTCCAGGTGGTGTTGGCACAGCCACGTGAACCGTGTGGTTAGTCCCTCAGTAGAAGTCACATCACCAGCCTGGGGAGAGGTCCTGCAGTGGCACTGACTGGTCCACCCGAGGCTCTGGCACTTATACACCTGGGGATGGCAACCTCCGCAGGGCAATGTGATGCTGCCTTTTGGAACCAGCGTCCACGTGCACCTGCTGGGGTGCACCTGGCGTTTCTCAGCTCACAGGCTGGTAACGCGGCACATAGAACTTGCCGAGTTTTAAGTTAGCAGAAGACAAGACACAGTGGCAAAAGCCAAGCTAAAGCCCTGTATAGAAGCCAAAGTCACACTGAGCATCTGGAGTTCAAACAATTGGCTCTAGGAGATGGTAGGCAGGGTCAGTGCCAAGCTGGTAACTAGAAATATGCCAGGAATGAAGGCCTCCAGCAGCAACCACAGACACTGGTTCTTGCCAAAAAGAAATGCAGGAGTTGGGGGTGAATATGATCAAACCACATTGAGGGAAATGCTGAAAGGAATAATGAAAATACTTAAAAAAGAACGAATATGCCAAGTGTGTTTAATAGGTGAAGCAGTTTTGGAGGACTAACCTTCCTTGGGGAAGAATTCTTACTTTTTGGACCATGATTTCCTCTAAGGTCCTGTGTGATGAACCCAATACCTAAAGCTTAAGGATTCAGGGGTCTACACAGATCTGGGGGGCAACCTGTCTGAGCCTCACAGGGCTGTCTTGACTACACCTCCAGCCGTTCGAAGACATCCACCTTGGGAACACGGGCACATCTTCCCTCTTGACTCAGCTAAGAGCCCAATGTCCACCTTCTAAGAGCACAAGTCTCTCTCAAAGCCCTGCTTTTCTCAACTCAGCCTCACTGGGTCTAAGTGGAAAATGTAAGGCCAGAACTGTGGAGACCAAGCTCTTAGGAGGCAACTGTGGAAGTCTGCACTTCTGGGCAGGTCTTCTTCAGTAATGGGGAAAACTAAGTAAGAACACAGATCAAACCCTGCCTGCTTAAAAGCACACAAAATTGGGTCAACAGAGCCTCTCGGAGTAGGAATTTCCTGAGCTGGTCTATCCGCCATCTTTTCTTAGGTGAGGTCCGTGTGGGACAGCTGTACAGTCTCAGGAAGGAGGTCCCAAGGTCTGTGTTCTTGCAGGAAAGACCCTCTGAGGAGAGACACACTTCCCTGATATGCAGGACAGTACGGGAGAGGACTGTGTTCTGATCCCAGCTGCTGACAGACAAGGCCAGCAACCTGTTCCATGGAGATGGTACTGTATCCAGAAGGGGGAAATAGATCACGCCTCTGAGGTCACTTCCACCTGTGCTGAGGACGGGGCCAGCTTCTTTGGACACAAGGGCAGGTGCTACAAAATCTTGCCCAGTTCTTGGCAGGCAACGTAGTTATCACCGAGGGATTTGGGGTAAAGGTGGAAGGGGAACATTTTGTTAAATCTGGGTTGAGCACGTAGCTCAGACATAGAGCATGTGCTTAGCAGGTGCAAGACACTGGGGTTCTACCCCAGTACCTAAAACCTCCAAACCCAACAAGTTAGATCAACAGTATCAGCAGGGCACTCAACTAAGAACAAGGATTCTTAGTTTGAAGTAATCTTTGCCACATCCAAGGCCCAGTATTACATGTGTGAGAAAGGCCCAGCATCACCTGGGGGCTTGCGAGATACAAAGTTCCGGGCCAGTGAGTAAAGGTGTTTGCCACCAAGCCTGATGACCCAAATTCAATCAACAGTAGGAGAGAACCAATAGCCATAGGTTGTCTTCTGACCTCCACACATGCAACCTGTCCCCTTCTCACCCCACCCCACCCCACCCCAGGCCAATAATTAATGTATTAAAAAGAGAAAAGGAAAAGAAATACAAACCATGAGCGCCCTAGACCTTCCGAACCATAACACCCAGCTCCCCGGCTCTGCCCTGAGATACTCAGGGGCACTGGTACTCATCCAAACTTGAGATGAGCTGAACATTCAGCAAGACACTGCCTGCCCCTGATCAGCTGCATCATCCAGCCTGAGCCAGGGTGCCTTCAGATTCCAGCCGCCAATCCTTCATTCCCATCAAGTCAGGTGTGGTAAAGAGACGGCAGGCAGGTAGACGAAAGGGAGTCACCTCCACAGACAGAGAGAGGTTCTAAGATTCTGTTGAGGCTTTAGGAAAACATTATCAAATGACTTTATTGTAAAACATCCACTATTTATTAACGGTTGTTCTTCTAAAAACATAAACATGAGAACTGAGCACCACATCCACAGTGACTCACCCCTACAGCTAGGGAGACGCCAGGACAGAGGCGGTAGGGCTTTCCTTGCACCCCAAGTCTCAGCTTCCCCACTCACTCCAGGGCTCCAACTACCTCTGACAAGAGAAAGGAAACCACTGAAACCCCCAAGCACAGGAAGGTCACAATAACCTCAGGGCTGCTGATGTTACTGCTGCACACTCCAGCCTGTAACTCTAGCAACATCATCAAAAGCCACCATCAAAGAGCTGCTCCCAGGGGCTGTCCTGAGCCTGGCTTCTACATACTGCAGAGCACAAGCGTTAACATCGACATGCAGTGTCCGTGTTCAAGTATAAAGGTCTGTTCAGGACAGCCCAAGTCATGTAGTGCTTCACCCTCTGTAGTGTCTACTATGGTCAGACCCTTGGACAAGCTGGTCAGAGATGGCACGATGCACGAGCAAGTATG